GCGTGTGTGTGTGTGTGTGTGTGTTTGTTTGTGAGTGTGTGTGCGTGTTTGTGAGTGTGTGTGTGAATGGCAATCACATATTATGCGATCGCACCGGCGGCATTAGTGCAAATTGTGTGGATATTGATCTTTTTCCCAGCTGAGTGTTTACCAAACAGGAATGATATACTGGTAGGTATTAACGCCCACAAAAGGTACTCATATATGGATCGTATCTCATAAGTACCTCACACAAGAATAGTATCTCGTACAGCCAAGGCATCTTCAACCCATAAGCCGCAATGTCAGGATAACTGTTATGTAAGGCGTGGATACTTCGCACTGTCTCTCATTTTCTGCTATTATCTACTTCCTGGCCCCGCTGTACAGGTGACCATGGACACGATTATGGAGATCCTTATGCCGGTGCATTTGTCGGGTATGTGCTTGATATTAGAATGTGAACGGGGAGGTTGTTGATCACTTGTCATCGGGATTGGTGGTCCCTATGTGATGTGCTGATATAGGTATCAGCAAGCGATCGCCATTATGTCTACGTCGATACGTATATGCTCCATACCCGTTGATTTCTATATTCCGCTCTATTTTTCTAAATGTAAACTAACCGATTGAGCACTTCGAAGCGCACGCAGATTGTTGTGTTTTCTGCCACAAACCCAATGACTTAGTTCGATTTCGTTTTAAACTCGGAGACAATATCAGCCCTCTTCCACCTTGTGTTATAAACGATACATGTAAACATTTCGAAGCATACTGAGACTATCCCATTTCCTGTTGCAAAACAATTGACTTTGTATGGATACTGAGGGTACGTACGAGACGAGCGGGTTAGTCGGGAACCCAGCCAGATTTTCGTTCCATAGCCGGAGTTATAAAAATAACGACCTCAGCCCACTTATACTATATATCATAGTCAATACAATCAGGCACATCGACGCATACTTGGACAGTATTCTTTCATGTCACAAACCATTCTACCTTCATAGATACTAGGGCATGTGCGAGAGACGAGCGGGAAGTACTCAACTCGGGGCCCGTTCCATACCCGGAGATATATTTTAAATCAGCCCCTACGTTGCTATTTGATAGAAACAATAGGTTTATGCACTTTGATGCATACTGAGACAATATTCATTCCTGTCACAAACCAACTAACGTTATGCAGATACCAAGGATACGTACGCGACGAGTGGGGCAGTCGGGGGCCCAATCACGTGATCGCCGGCAGTTTCGGAGTCGACCGGTCAGAAGAAAACCGCATTAAGGTAAGCTTTATTGTATCATGTACTTTTGTTTGGTTCAACTTGACAATCAATCCAATCACGTTGCAAATTAGTTAGTCAGTTGATGGAAATATAGTAGTGCATGCAATCTGAAGAAGTTACCCTACGGTGTGTTGACTATTAAGGTAAAATATCCTGCACGAACCAAATCACGTGATGTGGGCCGTTAGAATAGGCGTGTGTGACCTTACGATCAGATAGTGGCCCATGAGGATGTGGACAAAGTTGTGGCTTCGCATTCTTATCCGAATAATAAGAAGAAGAAAAATCTCAAGGTCCCTAGCACACAGCTGCTCTGTTGTCGAACACCCTGTCCCCCTACCAGCGTATGCGCAAACACCATATCGTTCATTCGAAGCTTTTGATGGTGGTTGTGGTATATTGCCATATGATAGCTATATTGTTAATGGACCGAACATACTATTCGATTGGCGCAAAAATCTTTCGTATACAGGAATGTCGTTGTAGTCACGTGGACAACTGTGCAGAAATGTCTTTGTTTTTTGTGATTGTGTATGCACCTGGCCGTACATGTGCGTATCGCTGTGTGGTGCAATCGAAATGAAAACGGCTTCAACGTAGCTCCGAGTCTGACATTCTCATTGTTTTGTCATTGTTTTTTGCCCCAGATCTCTTGCAATCGAAAGGAGATTAGCATCAAACGCGCGAGCACGGGGAAAGAAATAGACACCATACAGTACCTAGAGATCCAGAAAATCGACCACAAACATGAGCGCACAAATGATGGGTATGATTCTTTTCTATTTCAGCGTCACTAGTGTTGGCCGCCAGGCCTTGTATATGCTTGTGTTAGGGGTTTGCTTTGTTAATAGATACACAGGCTTGTGTGGGTGCGTGCATTCTTGTGTAAAGGCGATGTGTAAAGTTGGCAAAGGGGTCGTACGCGTATTTACAAAAGTATCACAAATGTCGAAGTCAGTGTCAACTCCGCTATATATTTACATATGTGCGTGTGTGAGGGCGGATAAAAACTAGTTTCTTCATTGATGTCGGCTCGTATTAGCAATTGCAACTACTATCAAACCTTCAATATATTAGCACTTCATTCTATTATCACTCACGTATATCATATGTTTTGGGTGCGAGAAACATTGGTTTCGGCTATTGTAGTGCAATTCCAACTGGGACGATGACACGCTTAAAACATGTACTTACCAGCCCAATCTATTTTGGCACAACCCATTGTGTTTTCCGCACAAACAACTTTGTGACTATTAACCTTGTGCATTTCTGCAGGGACGGGGCAGACAACATCCTCTCACTTTCACTCAAAGACGGCTCCAGATTCGTCATCAACTCACCACAAACACCCGAAATCAAGGACGAAATCATGGACTACATCAAACGCAGCAAGTCCGTACACGTGGGAAGCTACAAACGAAACTACTAAAAGTATATTTATTCTTAGTAATGTCTGGGGACACACTTTATAAACATTTTGGCAAACATACGTACGAACGTTAATGCATGGATAGCCCTCGCTTACAGCAAACCTTAGGTCGAGATTTTATGAACTGTATCGGAGGTTGATGATGTACCTCCCATAGGGTGCCACACACGAGAACAATATACCGAACGACAGGGATAACTTGTCCATATGGGGTGTTACAAGAGTAGGATGTATTTGGTTGATATAAGGTCAGGAAAGGTCAGGAGATTCTTAGCAGAGCTACCGATTGTTAGTTTGAGGTCAACTGAGCTTTGTAGCCTTTATTCATTTTGAATTAACGAGCCCATTTTGATTAAAACGTTAAATTATCGTCTATTTCAATGCATAAATTTAAACTATATATTAAATTTTATGGAACAATTTTCGCGCTCGCTAAGTAAGCCTATGAGACAGAAAATAATCTAACCATAAGAGTCTTCACCATCACAACGGCATTTTTATGACATCGAACGGTCGTTTACACATAAAATCATGTGCAATCTTGTACACAAACAGTATACTGTACACATCAATAGAGACTATTCTGGTTTAAGAGACAAGGAGCAAAAAACGCTCAAAGATGTGATGATATAAAAGGTATAAAGAAATCAAAACAATAAGTCATATGAATATATATATATATATAAACATCTATATATATAAATACATTTT